AAAGTCTGCTGTTAACTATCCTTGCAAAAGGTAGTGAAGCCTGAACAGGGATGATGCAAGTGAGCAGAGAAGGGAGGTGGTGATGGCACACAGTGGGAAGCAAATCAGAGGAGGAAAACAGGACACTGAGCATTCATCCCCAGGAAACTGGGATAACTGTGGAACCATTTCACTGAAGTTAGAGAAGAGAGAAAGCAGAGTTTTCAGGAAAAGTTGATGAGAGTGGTTCTGGGACCCTTGAATGTGAGATGTTAGAGGAAGGCAGAGATGAGATAACTAGTATGCAGGTGTGGATTTATCCATTCATTCATTTTCTCTACGCGTTCAACAGTTATTAAACATCGAATATTTGTGTATTTAAAAGCTATATGCCACTAGAGTCAGAAAAATAATCTCAAAGAGTTGCTGTCTAGTGAAGAGACACATATAAAAAATAATTGCACTGCCCTGCCTGGAGAGGGTCCTCAGAGCCTTTACAGATGAGGTCATATTTGAACTGGTGTGTTTTTTTTTTTTTTTTTTTTTTGCGGTACGCGGGCCTCTCCCGTTGCGGAGCACAGGCACCGGACGCGCAGGCTCAGCGGCCATGGCCCACGGGCCCAGCCGCTCCGCGGCACGTGGGATCCTCCCGGACCGGGGCACGAACCCGTGTCCCCTGCATCGGCAGGCGGACTCTCAACCACTGCGCCACCAGGGAAGCCCTGAACTGGGTTTTGAAGTAGCAAAGGAAAGAGAACTACCATTCGTTGACATCTTACTATGTTCCAGGACATTCACTAGGCCTTTTACATATAACATTTACCTTAATCCTAGGATGTAGAAAATTATGTAATATATGAGGTTACATTGCTAATAAAATTATGGAGTTTGGGACTCTAAAACAAGGTTTGTCTAACTTCAACTAGGGCTCTTTCCACTGCCCCAGAATGCTTCCCATCTTGAAGCATAAAAAGGAGAGAGGAGGATGAGAATTCTGGTTTTAGAGTCAGACTTCATGCCACTCGAAGTACTTGGAATATAGTACTGACATATCCTAAACTAGTCAACAAATGGTAGTTTTAAAACAGTAGGAGACAGACTTCCCTGGTGGTCCAGTGGTTGGGAATCCGCCTTCCAATGCAGGGGATGTGGGTTTGATCCATGGTCGGGGAACTAAGATCCCACATGCCACAGGGCAACTAAGCCCACGCGCAGCAACTAGAGAGAAGCCTGCGCGCCGCAACGAAGACCCAGAGCAGCCAGAAGAAAAAAAAAACAGTAGGAGTTTGTTAAGGAGCAAGTTGGTGGGGCATTCCAGGCAGAGGAGCTCTTTGTTACCAAAAAAGCGGGGGGAGGGCGGCTTCCTTGGTGCACAGTGGTTAAGAATCCGCCTGCCAATGCAGGGGACACGGGTTCAAGCCCTGGTCCAGGAAGATCCCACATGCCACAGAGCAACAAAGCCTGTGCGCCAGAACTACTGAGCCTGCGCTCTAGAGCCTGCGAGCCACAACTACTGAGCCTGCGTGTGCCACAGCTACTGAAACTTGCATGCCTAGAGCCCATGCTCTGCAACAGGAGAAGCCACCGCAGTGAGAAGCCCACACACTGCACGGAAGAGTAGCCCCCGCTCACCGCAACTAGAGAAAGACCACACGCAGCAATGAAGACGCAGCACAGCCAAAAATAAATAAAATAAAATAAAATAAAATAAAGTAAAAAAAGGAGGCAAAACATGCCATGTCTGGGAAAAGACAAGTGGATGGCTGGTAGTTGGGAAGTGGTGGGGAGAAGTAAGACTAAAGCCAGATGATGGAGGTCTTTATAAAAGCTCAGGTGAGAGTTTAGGGGTCACATTAGCTCCATGATTTTAACAATTTGAATGATTAAACAATTACAAATAACTAGTTTTTCTAATGAAGTTCACCTAGGAACAGATTGCAGTAGAAGAGCACTGAGTATGCCTACATCCACTGAAAGGAATTCAGGAGGCGAGAAGAGAATGAAGCATCAGGGAATTGAGAAGGGAAAGAGGGACAGGTTCAGAAAAGATAGGTAACAAGTAATCTCTCCTTCTACAAAAAGATATTTTAAAGCTGACCATTGAATGTAATATGAAGACAAGATTTTTGCTTATTTATTGAAAGAGCTGTTTCATTAAAATGGGGATAGAGTTGAGTGTTGCAAGGAATTAAATAGTAAGAATGAACAAGTGAAAGGCAGCAGATACTGAATTATGCAGAAAAGTTTGGAAATAAAAGGATTGTAGTAAAAGGGAAAATATATCTTTGTTTTTTCCCCCTTCGCTTCAGTAAGGTGGCTTAGCATGTTTGTAGATAAAATGGAAGAACTTACTAGAGAGAAAGAGATTAAAGATACAAAGGAGAAATAATTGATAAATTCATAAAGGAATGAGAACAAATGGATGTAGAATGGTAGAAAGGGAGGGGGACCTATCAAAGGAACTTGAGATGCAAAGGAGAGAATTGGGGAGAGTTTGGATCCAGTGACGAAATTTTTTTTTTTAATAACTTTATTTTATTTTTTAATTTATTTTTGGCTGCATTGGGTCTTCATTGCTGCACGTAGGCTTTCTCTAGTTGGGGCAGGCAGGGGCTACTCTTCTTTGTGGTGTGCGGGCTTCTCATTGCAGTGGCTTCTCTTGTCGCAGAGCACAGGCTCTAGGTGCGCTGGCTTCAGTAGTTGTGGCTCACAGGCTCTAGAGCACAGGCTCAGTAGTTGTGGCACACGGACTTAGTTGCTCCATGGCATGTGGGATCTTCCCAGGCCAGGGATCGAACCCACGTACCCCGCATTGGCAGGCGGATTCTTAACCACTGCGCCACCAGGGAATCCCCGGATCTTCTGACGTCAGTCCAGTAGAAGACAAGATCATTTGAGGTGGAGAGTTGAGGTTGATTTGGAGTTAGGAGAAAAGGAGAGGATATTTTAAAAAGAAAACAGCAGCTGATACGTGATTCACTTTAGTGGATTCCTTTTTTTTCCTTCCTTTATTGATTGACTGAAGTGTGGTTGATGTACAATATATAAGTTACAGGTGTACAATATAGTGATTCATAATTTTCAAAGGTTATACTCCATTATTCCTCATGTTGTACAATATATCCTTGTAGCTTATTTTATACATAATAGTTTGTGCCTCACCTCAGTGGATTTCTACATATATAATTCCTCTAATAAAGGGGGTACAGGGCATAATGGTTTTCTCTAGTGAGCAACCAAACACTATATAATATAGTGTTTGAATTACTGAAAATTAAGTTGGAATAAAGTTGGAAAGAGATGTCAGTATCCTGTTGCACGTAACACTGTCTGGTAAAACTATCATACTACTGTGGCAGACACTCACCTGTTTCTGTGCCCTGAGGTGGCAATATTAAAAGACAAGGCATCTGGTGACCCTGTGCAACTCTGGGAAACTATTGTCTTTGATATTTAACCTGAATAAGCAGCCATCTTTAGATTTTCATCAGTGCAAGAAAAAAATTAATTTCCATTCCAGTTAGGTCGTTGTCTCTTTTATCTGCTGGCATGCTCTTTTTGGAGGCATTGTGGAAAACAATATTGTATCCTAGTTGAGTAACCTCAGACAAATTACATAACTTTCTTAATGTCAGTGTAATTCTCTGTAAAAATTTGACATAATTATACCTGATTGGGTTAAGAATTAAATAAAATAGATCAAGCATCTGGTACATAGTAGATAACTCTGTGAAGTTTATTCCTTTCTTTAGCCTATATTATCTTCTTTAATAACAAGAAAGAAATCCTTTTCACTCAGACCCTTCCTTTGTCCTAGAGATCTCTTGGTTCTAATTGTTTCATTTTGGAAAAACAGACTTTTTTACTTTCTTTAGCCTCACTCCATTGATGTGCCTCAGACAAGAGTGATTGACTCAGGAAAAATGGAGTATTCCATCTACACTCTGCTGCCATCATAGTTGGGGTCAGGGCCAGAGTGACAGAATGGGCCCAGACCCCACAAGACCGAGCAAAAGAAGGACCTCTGGACTAAACCAGGATTGTCCAGCCATTTATATTGCCCACCCTGGCCTGTAACTAGCCTCCTGCCATCAGTGTTCCTAGAAAACATCATTTTTCTGATGTGCTCTTTGGAGGCAGGGGTGGGGGGTTGTCAGGATTACATCAGAGGTTAACAAACAGCACACTATAAAAGAAAACATTTGGGGAGGGTCAAATAAGTTTAGAAAATGCTATGTAGTATATCTGCCTCTCAATTCACATATATAGTTAAGTGCTTTGAGAAACAGCACAGTAAAAGAAACCTGTTGTCGAACTATATTCAGCCTAGCATCTCCCAGGCTTATTGGACTAGGGCTCTGTTTTTGAGAAATACCTGTTAATATCCCATGGCTTTTCTGGTTCCTGTCTGCCTTTTTCCTTCAAGGTTATATACCTCCCAATCGTGTTGAGACAGGTGAACTCTTGGAATTCATGTTTGCACATAACATATCACTCCTTATGATCTTACAGGCTGAGCTTCTGTCTGCATGCTGTTCTGACTGATTTGTTCTCTCTTCCCATGTAGCCCAGTGCGTGGAAAGCTAACAGAATGGAACACAAATCAGGATCCCTTTCCTCTAGCCGGGAGTCTGCTTTTACCAGTCCAATCTCTGTTACCAAACCAGTAGTACTGGCTGGTGGTATAGTTTTAAGCTCTCCCAAAGAGGTGAGTGAGAATAAAGCTAAGCAGCCTTTTCTAAAGTTGCCATTTCCCGTTTACTTAAACTGAGGTAAGTGTTGTGACGTGTACAGCTCTGACTCCATTTCCTTTGTAGTTATGCTTAGCTCAAAGTCATTTTTTTTTACTGGTGATTCCCATCAGCATCCAAAGATGGGCAGTAGCTGGGTGGGGTCATTGCCCTTTGGTAAACCATGGTTGGCCTGTGTTTGACTGGCGTTATGCTGGCATCTGGAGAAAGATCGGAGAGGTGCTATTTAAACCATCGGGTTTTAACTGTAAGAACTCAGCAGAGCTGAAGTCTGTTTAAATGAAAAGGATAGTTTATTTTTGGTAAAAGAGTGATAAATAGGCTACCAGATTCTGGAAAGCAGTACCTTGTAGAAGTGACCTAGAGAATCCCAGTACTTACTCTTTGCTGTCAAGAGCAACCTATTTGTGGTATTTGCCCAGAGCCCCGCCAGCACCACTCCTCCAATTGAGATCAGCTCCTCTCGTCTGACCAAGTTGACCCGCCGAACTACTGACAGGAAGAGCGAGTTCCTGAAGACTCTGAAGGATGACCGGAATGGAGACTTCTCAGAGAGCAGAGACTGTGAGAAGCTGGAGGATGTAAGAGCAAAGGGTTTTTCTGGGGCAACATAAGTGTTCTTCTATGTTATACATGTGCTTTTTGTTTTTAAGCGAGAAAGATGTGGTACATTTTTAAAATGACAGAGATTTGTCTGGAGGAGTAACAGTCTGTGATAAAGCGAGTTCAGTTCTTTGTTCAGCATATTTCAAATTAGGGCTCATTTCAGTGATAGCTGCCTTGGGACTTAGTGCTCTTAAACAGGGCAGCACTGCTTAAGCCTTGAATTGAAGTTGGTAAGAAGTTGGTAAATTATAGAAGCATATATATATATATATATATATATATTTTTTTTTTTTTTTTTTTTTTGGCTGCTCCAGGTCTTAGTTATGGCATGCAAACTCTTAGTTGCAGCATGCAGACTTCTTAGCTGTGGCATGCATGCAGGATCTAGTTCCCTGACCAGGGATTGAACCCGGGCTCCCTGCATTGGGAGCACAGAGTCTTACCCACTGGACCACCAGGGAAGTCCCTTTAAGGGTTATATTTAATTCTAATATAAGAAAATCTGACGAACAGAACCGTAAAACAAAAGGGTTTCTTTTTGGTATCCTGCAACAGGAAGGTTAGAGTTCCCTGTCCAAGAGGGTAATGGCAGCTCATTCGTATTATCAGGAAACTTGTAAGTTTTGGTCGCCTTGGAACTAGGGTAGTTGTGCTCCCATCCACATTCTAGTTAGGGAAAGGACAGAGCCAAAAACCTGAAAACGGATGTCTGTCCCTTTTTTAAATGCTTTCTTAAAAGCCACCCCTGCAATTTCCACTTACATTTTATTGGCCAACTGTCAAATAGCCACTCCTAGCTGCAAGGGAGCCTAGGAAAGTGAACTTTTTAAAAGCTGAGCGCATTGGTTCCTTAGTCCAAATCAGTAAGGAAGAATAGAAAATTGATATTGCATAGGCATCTAGTAGCTTCTGCCACAGTTGCCATAACCTGAAGTTAAGATGGTAGCCAGTTAGTATCCTTTGGAAATCTTATTAGCAAGATGAGCAAGTTCTCGTTTTTAAGTGGGAAAAACCTATTGGCTGAGATCCTCTTCTAGAAAGCATTTTCCTGGGTTCTGACTTCTTAATCTCTTAGATTGCTTATCTTGCCCCAAAGGGGTATTAAACCAAATATGTCCTTCCTTTCCTTATTTCAGTCAGAGGACAACAGCACACCTGAACCAAAAGAAAATGGAGAGGAAGGCTGTCATCAGAATGGTCTTGATCTCCCCGTAGAAGACGAAGGGGAGGTCCTCTCTCACTCTTTGGAAGCAGAGCACAGGTAAGTGAGGGTCAGATCACAAGGCATGCTGTGTATGGCCTACAAGGAGTTTCAACATACTTAAGGCATTTCAGAGTCCCGTACAGAGAGAAGTGCCCCCAGCACCACACCTTGTTCTCTCTGTGTGCCGCAGGTTGGCCTGTTGCCCACTGGGTATTCCTTTACAGACTCAGCTAGCGTTTTCAGACCCTCCTCTCCAAGGCATTCTTGTAGTTTAGTTTCAGACTCAGTTTACGGCTCCAGTTGGAAGGGGTGGGGTGGGGTGAGACCTGTTTCCTGGTGCTGTTGTGGTGGCCCCTTGGCCCCTCCTGGCCTAAGTGAGAAGTTACCACAAGACCCCTTTAAGGGGCCTTGGGATTCATGAGGCCCGAAGGTAATGGATCTTGTTCTTTAAATGAGGGCCTTGAACACAGAGCCAGCCAAGCTGTGTGGGCAACTGGATGGCAGATGGGGCCTGCCAAGTACCTTCCTGAAAAGGGGCTCCTGTCCAGAGGAACTTTAAAAGGGGTCAACAAGATCACAAGGTTATGGAGTCCACAGTGCCATGAAATTAAAAGAGAACTTAGGTACATGTGGCTATGTACTAATTTGCTCACAGGAGACAAAGTGAGATTTCTTCTGTTTCGTCTGTGGGATAGTTTGACTCTATACTGCTACTTCTACCGTCCCTTCTCTATAGCTCTTATGCTCTCCAAAGAGCAACTACGGAGACCCTCCATCTAATTCCAAGCACCTAAGTAGTCATAATTAAAGCTTATCCCACTGGGAAGAAAAGAAAAACCCAGTTTCTTCTCTAACATCTAGGTGGGTACCATTGCCCCTGGGCTGGAAAGTTGTGGATTTCTCAGTTATGCTTAAAGGTATATTTTTTTTGCCTGACCTGCCTCTACCAGGTTATTGAAAGCAATGGGATGGCAGGAGTATCCTGAAAATGATGAGAATTGCCTTCCCCTCACAGAGGATGAGCTCAAAGAGTTCCACATGAAGACAGAGGAGGTATGTCATAAACTTTTGCTGGAGACCAGTTAATGACTAGGAGAGAAAGGAGATAGGACAATCATTGCCCTTAGGAAGCCCCAGTTTAGGGTGTGAGAAAGACCTTGAAAAAGAAAAGTTACTTAATAAGTTGCCATTGTAGAAATATGGAGGAGCATCTCATTCTGCCCAGGCCAGTGGTGGACACAAAAACCAGGTCAGTAGTTAGCAGATTTCAGAAAGCAGTATGTTATTTCATCCTGGAAGCTCTAGCTCCTTATCAGAACCACAAGGCTGTATTCCTGAGGTTATGGGCTGAGCCCTTGGTGTTCGGCTAAGCAGGCTAACCCTCTGCTTCCAGCTCTGTGGTTTACCTCTGGTAGTCCAGCCAGAGCCAAGAAGCCAAATAGCCTATCTGAATTTCTTCAACAAATGCCTGCATTCTTTCTCTGAGTAAAGCACTGCCAGGTCTCTACAAACTTCATGAAACTTACGTTCAGGTGGTATATATTTAAAGCATAAATAACAATGGTGTTAAAATCCTATAAAGAAAAGTATAGGTTGACATAAAGACTTTGCTACTCAGAACTCTGTTCCCCTGTCATTGTCATCACCTGAGAACTTGTCGAAATAGGAAATCTCAAACTGTACCCCAGACATACTGAATCAGTCTGCATTTTAAAGAGATCCTTAGGTGATTAATTGGCACATTACAGTTTGAAAAGCACTGCTGTAAGAAATCTTCAGTCTCTTAGAACGGTCCCCCTCTACATTCTGCCTAGAATTGAATTGAGACCTGGGCTTTCCCAGGTCCCATGGGCCAGTGTAGTTACTGACGGTTGTCTTTTTCTTTCTTTCCCTTGCCAACCACAGCTGAGAAGAAATGGCTTTGGGAAGAATGGCTTCTTGCAGAGCCGAAGTTCTAGCCTATTCTCCCCTTGGAGAAACACTTGTAAAGCAGAGTTTGAGGACTCAGACACGGAAACAAGTAGCAGTGAAACATCTGATGACGATGCCTGGAAGTAGGCTTATAAATGCTTACTGTTAAATCTGACCCAGTAAACTCAGCTTGTGCATTTAGGGGTTATACAGAAGAAATCATTCTTTTCCTTTTCCTTTTCTTATGTTGTTGTTGAATACTTCATGCACAAGGGAAATAATCATATCCCAAAGAGAGAGCGAGCGATTGGCTTGTTTAGCTTTTGTTGTTCTTCCCTGTTATCTGCTTAATAGAACTTCATGTGGTGGGAAAGATTTTTAAAACACACACACATACACACAATATATATGGGGCGATGCACAGGTGGGAGCTGGCAGGGCAGAGAGGAGGAGACACTGGTCTGCAGCAGCAGCTTCTACTACCAGCCCTTGGGGCACTCACCCCTGTGCTCAATCAATCATTGTCAATGACAAAGTGACTATTGAAGTTATAATTGTATTAAATTAATGCTAATAATTTGGATATTTTATTTTATTTCTGGCTGCTCGGGTAACATTAGCCCTTAACCCAGCATATATGGTTTTTTCACTTTTTTTTTTTCTTTCTGGGTACAGCTGTAAAATATTTGGATATAGGAAATGTGTTATTCTTGCAGCCTTGATATTCAGGGTGGATTGTAAAATATACATTTTTGTGAGATTTCAAAGATTAAGATTATTTTGATAACATTATTTACAGATTTAAAAGATGTGGTTATCACAAGTCTGTTGAGGGGGAAAACTACTGCATAAAATAACTAACTTGGAATAAATATTTTGCATCAGTTTGGATTGTCTTGTGTAAGAAGTATATTTTCTTTAAAATTAGATGAGTGGATTCTTTTTTAGGGGAAATACTACTTTTAGAGGTCTGAGGGAAATCTGAATTCAGACACACCTGTTTCTCCTTTTAGCAGATATGTTTTTGATGCAGAAAAACCTGTGCAATAAACTACCAGTAATAAAATCAGAAACCCAAGTTTCCTTTCTGAAACTGTTTTTCACTGCCCATGTATTTACCAGTGTGCCTATTTTTTAAGGAAGTCTGTGCCTCAATTTTTCTGCTAAATAAGAACATAGGGTGTCCCGGGCATTGTGCAAGGCCCTGGGAATGCAAGGAGCACCCAGCTCAGTAGGGTTACATAAAAAATGGAACCTTAGGCCAAGATCTGATGGACAATTAGAAGTTAAACTAAACAACAGATACCGAAACTGGCACTCTTCAGCCAGCCCTACAGCACATGGTCCCTAGTGGATATACAGGCCCGAGATCATGCTCTAATGGGAGACAAGCAAAGGAATAACAGGCCTGACCACTTGTTAGAAGGGTAAAACTAACTTGTAGTGTAGGCTCCAGAAGGGGTAGAGACTAGAGGTAGAGTAACCAGCATAATTGCTAGATTCTAAAGGCTAGGAAGGCAGAGACCTTATGTGCCATAACGTACGGTAGTCTCTCCTGCTAGTAGGGGCTTCTCCTGCTAGTAGTATAAGCAGTGCACATTATGAACTGTGGAAATGGTGATTGAGATAGAACAGAAAGAACTATATCATATTTCATTGAGTATATCTATTTTAAGACATTTTATGTACTAATAAGAAAACTTGCCAGTTATGACACTCCATTAATTGTGAATCCTGATTTCAGTGTTAAAATATGAAAAAGTGTGCATCGTAGGGTCAATGAAATACTATAAAATGAGCTATAAATTGGAAATGAGAAGTAGGTTGACATAGAGATATCCTATATGTTTGGTCTTCGGCTTTGCCACTTAGTAGCTTTCTCAGAACAAATTTCTAAAAATGTACCTCTTTTCCACTTGGAATTGAGCTGGACAATTGAGATTACATACTTTGAAACACTTTGTAACCTGCTGCTAGTCATAGCTTGGCCTTACATACCTGGGAGCAGGGGCACCACTACCTGCCTTGTTTAGAAACATGGGGCTAGGTCAGAACTCCTGCCTCTGTTGGATTCATATATTTGGGTGGGGGTGGCAGGGAAATCTGGTCAGCAGGAACGGGGCCTGTGTGGCCCCTGGCTAGTCCTGAGTGAAGAGTTTACCTTTCTGTATTTGATTCCCTCTTCTGATTCATTGTGTTCTCCCAGAACTTTCATTCCTTCAGCTGTGTTGATTATCTTGTGGGGGCGGCAGGGCGGCGCTTAGGGGCAGGAACTAGGAGTTAGGGGGCCTTGGTATGACTTGGTTATGCAAAACATGTTGCTTCCAGAGAGGCACCGTGCAAGGAAAAGGTTTTTTTTGCAGTACGCGGGCCTCTCACTGTTGTGGCCTCTCCCGTTGCGGAGCACAGGCTCCGGACGCGCAGGCTCAGCGGCCATGGCTTACGGGCCCAGCTGCTCCGCGGCATGTGGGATCTTCCCGGACCGGGGCACGAACCCATGTCCCCTGCATCGGCAGGCGGACTCCAACCACTGCGCCACCAGGGAAGCCCAAGGAAAAGCTTTTAGTCTACGGGAAAGACATGGTTTCCAGGCAGAATGCCTCCTCTTACTCAGGTATTCCTTGGAATGGAGAATGACACTAACTTGGGTTACATCCACTTGGGCAAAACTAGAACGAACAAGGTGACATTTCCCTGCCAGAGGCTATTAAATAACCAAGACGGAGTATGTGATACGGGCTCAGCTAGTTTAGGAGGCAGCTCTTTGCTCCCCTTTATTAATATAGGCAAGAAAACCAAGGTGTGGTGTTAGAGACTTGCCCATACTCATGCAATGGGAACAGATTTTATGACATCTTTTTCAAGCCAGGGGCTCCTCCCTAAGGTGACCAAGCCTGCCCGCTCACTCACCAGACCTGCCCAGACCTGAGGTTGTTGCCCAGGGAGCTTTAGCTCCTCTCCAAACATAAACTTGAACCGGTAAACCTGGCCTTTCCTCTCTGCCTTTGGCTATTTCATCCTCCTTTCCCTTTCCCCTGCCCCTCTGTTCTGTCTTCTGCAGGTCTTGGCTGCTATCAGGAAAGGAGTCCCATCCCATGGACTCCCACTCCGGGGAGCTAGGGCTCCTGCCCTGTGGGTCCTGTGACATGGTTTTCCGTTCCTGGGCCCTGCTGGCCACCCACACTCAGCGCTTCTGCATTGGCCGTCAGCCCCGGGAGCTGACAGTTGGAGAACAGCCCCCAATAGCCACTGAACCACGGGTACCCAGGGTAAGGGCCTCCTCCATGGCCATGAGATGGTACTGAAGTGACTAACTCTCAGAGGATTCCTCACCCCACACCCTGTACCCAGGTTGTGCCAGAAGAACACCAGGGCCTCCCAGACCAGGAGGCCAGCAAATCGGCTCTGAAGAGGCTAACAGATGAGGTATACCTGGATTTCCCCACTGAGCCTCCCCACCAAACCTATAGATCACGCGTGGGTCAGATTACCCCAACATGGAGATTGCGGGTTACTGTTACCTCCAGGTGCAGCGGCTGCGGCTGTATCTGCAGGAAATGCGACCCAGCATAACAGAGGTCCCCAGAGGGTCACAGGGGCCCTGGAGGCGGTCAGAGGCACCGACTCAGGGTCCCAACCACGAGACTGCTGGGAGCCCCGGCGAGCGGCTGCGGGCGCTGCACCGGACTCACGCAAGGCTCTTGGCAGAGACCAAGGCACAGAGCTGTGCCCTGGAGCGACGCGGCGAGGGTAAGGGAAAAGAGGGGGACTAGGGCCCACCCTCCCCCTTGGCTTGAGGTCGCCCGACCCGTTCTGATTTGATCTCTTACCCCCTCAGAACTGAGCCGGCACCTCCAAGGTTTGGCTTGGACCCGGGACGGGAAATCACGCATATTCAGCCTGGAGCGGGAGCTTCGAGAACTCCGGGCAGAGGCCGGGCGAACGCGGGGTGCTCTAGAGGAGTTAGGGGCGCACGTTCAGCAGCTACAGGCCAACCCCGGGTGAGGCCGACGAGCCGGATCCCGGGAGCTCCGAGTCAACGGCTGGCGGGGGGGCGGGGCCGGAGCGGGGGGCGGGGCCTGGCCCGGCTGGACGTGCGAGGTATGCACCCGGACTCGGCTGGAAGGCCGCGCGAGTGAGGTCGGGAAGGGGCGGTGCTGCCGGAGGCCCGGGGTCTGGGTCCTTGATTCCACCCCCGCGCCGGCCGTCCTCCACCCCAGGACCCGGCTGAACGCCGTACGAGAGGCAGAACTCTGTGGTCCGGTGCTACAGGCAAACCCAGGGACTCTGGCTGCGGAGATCGGGTAAGATCCGGGCCCCGAGGCGGGCACGGGGCAAAACGCTGATCGGTCCTGGAAAAACGCTTCTGCCTTCTTGTCCCCTAATCCCTAGGGCCCTGCGTGAGGCCTACATTCGAGGCGGGGGCCGGGACACCGGCGTTCTGGGCTGGATATGGCAGTTACAAGTGGAGGCGTCAGCTCTGGAGCTTCGGCGGTCGCGGACCCGCAGGGGTGAACATGAGGGGGCCAGCCAGGAGGGCCTTAGCCCTGGGGAGAGAAAAGGGCGATGAGGGAGGACATCTTTGGCTTGGGAACCATTTGAGCAAAAACCCAAGGTAGAACACCTGTCTTTGCGGGGGGTGCCTGCAATGTTAGCTGACAAGTCCAGCCTTGTCCAGAGAATCCTAAGGCTGGAGAGCTGCTCAGAGCAGCTGGTCACCAGCTGTCAGAGATGACAGGTCAAACTTGTTCAATCGCAGGAAGACAGGCAGGTGCCGCATTCAAGGAGCTTCTAGCAGTGGAGGCTGAAAATCGGCGCCTGGAGGCAGAAATCCTGGCTTTGCAGATGCAGAGGGGTGCAGGCCGGGTGCCCTGGGGTCAGTGAGCACCCAATTCCCCCCCGCCTAGCCCTCCCCAGCAGGCCAGGCTCAGAGGAAGGGGTCAGAGGCACCATGCACGGGGAATAAGACCTGTGTCTGAGCCCAATCAGTCTGTGTCCATGCCAATCTCCAGGTGTCCGTAGGGGTTTGGCTCTTGGGGGAGGAGTACCTCAGCCCAGTTACTTGCTGCGTCCTGCTCAAGGGCGCCCTACTCTTCCCCTGCACCTAGGGCACAGGGAGCCGAGACTTGTGGCCAATCCCAGCCCACGCCTGAGAAGAAGGGAAGATCCCCCAAGCCTCCCGCCTCCAGTGGCTCCCCCGCTGCCGCTGCTTCCACACTCCACAGGCGTCCTATTCTTGGGTGGCGCCGAAAAGGCTGTGAGGACCCAGGGGTTGGGACAGGGGCAGTTCTGCTCTGTGCAGTTGGGGGAGCATAGGACACCTAGGAGGCTTTCTGGAGGAATTGACTCTTCCCCTGCAGTCGCAGCTTCCTGGAACCATGACCAGGAACCTGGGCCTGGATCCACACTTCCTCCTGCCCACAACTGACGTTCTGGGCCCTGCACCCTACGACCCTGGGTGAGGCCTGCTCCCTCCTTTGACATCTTCTGTGACTTAGTCACCACTGCTGGTTAAGGAGACCCACTAGGGCCAGCTAGGGTGGGGGGACTGGCTGGGGGTTGGGAGGGTGAGAGGAGGACTTGGGTGTGTGTGCGCTTGAGGCCTGTGTTTCCTAGGGCTGGCCTTGTCATTTTCTATGACTTCCTGCGGGGCCTTGAGGCTTCTTGGATTTGGGTGCAACTATTGACTGGCTTGGCCCGAGATGGACAGGATACAGGAGGGACCACAGCGTTGCCCCCAGCCCTTTGCTTGCCCCCACCTCCAGCTCCTGGGCCCATGGGCAACTGTGCCATCCTTGCCAGCAGGCAGCCTATACCCAGGTCAGTAGGTGGAGATTTATGATGTTGGTGCTTTTTGCCGCAATTGAGGCTTGTCCCTCATTCTGCTACATTTTCTCATCTGTATACAGGGCCACTGGCCCTGAGGGCCAAGTCCTAGGAAGGGAGCAGAGCCACTTCTGGCTCCTGACACCTGTTTTTGGTTGCTCTAGACTACCACCTTCACCATCAGTATCCTTGGTCTGTGAGCTGCAAGCCTGGCAGGGGCTGGCATGGGCTAAAGCACCACTGCCAAAAGCCTGGGCCTCGCTGGTGCTATTTGACCGGGATCAGAGGGTGCTAAGTGGTCGCTGGCGTCTCCCACTTCGGACCCTTCCTCTGGACCCCAGCCTTAGCTTTGGGCAGCTGAATGGGATTCCCCAGGTGAGTGTGGAGGATGGGGACTGGGTCCTCCACGGTACAGATGCAGTACCATTTCACCTCTTCCCAGGTAGGTCAGGCCGAGCTCTTTCTGCGGCTGGTGAATGCAAGAGATGCAGATGTACAGACACTGGCAGAGATCAATCCAGCAAGTGCCCACGAGTACCAGTACCCACCTCTGGTGAGGGCCCAACTATAACTGGGGACCCCACAGGTGTGGCTGATGTGGTTAATAACCAGCATTTGTTGATCACTATGTATGTGCCAACCCACTACTAAATGTTTTCTGTGAATTAACTCATGTGACCCTCACATATCCTATTAGGTATGTACTACTGTGTAAGCAAGTAAGAAAATCAGAGCACAAGGTTAACTTGGTTCACAGTAAGCAGTTGACTCTAAGGTGGTCTGACGCCAGAAACTGTGCTGTTAACCTCTACATAAACCTTTTGCTAAAGATCAACCTTCTCCTTGTTCCACAGGTGCCCAACTCATCTTCACTGGAGGCCAGCTCCCTGGCCCCAACAGCTGGCTTTGTTGACCCCCCTCCTCCTGAAGACCCCCACCAGCGGCAGAGTCAAGCACAGAGAGGAGGGTTTGCGCCCTCAGCACAGCTTTGACCCACCCCCACTGGCTTTCTGAGTCCAGAAGAATGGGCGTATGAGTAGCTTCACAGGCACAGGACTGGGGCCTAGACTGAGGCCTGTTCTCCCATCTGCAGCTTTACTACTCCGTGTTCTGACAGAGGGTCTGGAAGCAAATACAGATGTGAACACACAACATGAGCTCCCATCACAGCTCTACCACCTTCCACAAGTACTTGGCCTTTCTTATCCTTTTGTAAAAAAGATTGATGTGAGGATTAAACAGATATGTCAGGTATTTACAGTATTGCCTGGCATATAAGAAAATTCTCTGAAAGGTGACTTGGAGACAGTCTTTCATTCAGCTAAAGGAACTTGATGAACTCATTCCTGGTTTTTTTTGCTAAAGCCAGTCTTACCGCCCACTTCTTCATCCAAATCCAAGCTTCTTCAGGACATCACCCAGGAAGCCTTCCAGGTTCTCAAGGTCACCATGAAACAGGGAGCTCCTGTAGCCATATATACTTACAGAAAGACAACCCAGTCATGTTCCTCCCAAGTTGGCGGCAGGAAGGATGGTCACAAGTGAAACCTGAATTGTTATATTGGGCGTGGCCCCAGACCCCAGTGTCAGCCAAAGGTCAAAGGCCTGGTAGTCAAGAACTCCCTCCGGGCTTCCCTGGTGGCGCAGTGGTAAAGAGTCCAGGTTCGTGCCCCAGTCCGGGAAGATCCCACATGCCGCGGAGCAGCTAGGCCCGTGAGCCATGGCCGCTGAGCCTGCGCGTCCGGAGCCTGTGCTCCGCAACGGGAGAGATCACAAAAGTGAGAGCCCTGCGTACTGCGCAAAAAAAAAAAAAAAAAGCTCCCTCCGCCTCCAACATTAGATATTCAAACAGCAGGTTCTAACCTGCTGTCTCTACAGTGCAGCAAAGTAGCCCTATGAATGCTGGAAATACTAAACCCCTTAGGTAGTAGAGGGCAGGCACTGTTTGGAATTCAGATCCAAATACTGCCTGGTGAATACCAATTTCTTAAAGGTCAGGTCAGAGGCAGCCAAGTCATGGGTCTCACACTAGCCCTGCACCCTGGACATCAGCGAGGGCCCAATGGGATGGCTTTAGTAACAGTGCCCTAACCACCAGCACCCTTACACTGGGCAGCCAGAACTGCTGACCCATTATCCACCTTTCAACCCCACATCCCACTGAAATGCTCCAGGCAGCCCATGATCCCACTCTAAGATCTTTAAACACAAGTCCAGAGACCAAGAGCTTTTTAGCATCTTTATTTAAGAAGTCAAAACTGTGGACAGGTAACAATTCCAACTGTTGATATTTTCTGTTATAACAAATATAACTCAACCAGCCAGTTCTCCCCCCAGATTCCTTCTTCCAACCACATCCAGAGTGTCCATCAGTCAGTCCCTTAGTCACTTTCAAACCAGAAAGCTCAATTTTCTACAATTAGCACACCAGTTTCCTCAAGGATCACTCCCCGCTCCCCAGCCCCAAGTTTTCTTCAGTTCTTTTTTCCAGGACAGGATTATGGCCCCAGTTGGAGACGAGGTGGATAAGACAGGTGCCACCTAAGGCCTGGCTTAGAAGCTGTTATCAGTTCACAGTCAAAGTCCATCAAACAGTATCAGCACCGAAGAGCAAGATCTTCACCAAGTCTTGTTTTTTATAGCTCCTGTCCAGGGAGAGCACCATTCAAAGTTCACAAGACAGCTGGGTTCAGAGTATTTAAGATGGAAAAAATATAGCACCATTGGAAGATAAGGGCCTACAGCCACACTTGATTTCATCACCTCCACATCAGACAGGAATCTGGATTAGAACTTCCAACACAGAGATCAGTAGAGGAGGGAAAAAAAACCCACAAAAACCTTTGGCCACCATATAAAACCCGGAGTGCTCCAAGGCACACATTTAGCCAATATTTAAGGAAAAAAAAAAAATCATCAAAGCCTCAACCTTTGCTTACAATCTTTATTGAAGTTATACAAAAAGAATCCCCCAAAAGTGAAAAAATACATTATATACAAAAACACTTTCCATTGGGAGGAAGGCTCTGCTCCCTCTCTTAACATGCAGTGCTTTCAACTGTAGCTCCAGCCTCCACTGTCCCCTCCACTGCTCCCCGGCATTCAGCCTGATTCTCAGCCTGGAAGATAAACAGGGAGCCTGGGCATAAGTGACCCTACTTTAAGCCATTCTTTCTTACACAACTGAGCAGGCCTCAGTCAGAGGAAATAAACACAGGTCCCTTATCTGCTTTGCTCTCTACACTAAAAGAGCAATGACCACAAGTTATAAGGCCATTTCCTAAATTCTCTGTAATAGGGCTGACAGAGCCAGTGTTCATATTAGAAAGAGGAGCAAAAAAAGACTGAATGGTCTTGCCAATTAAGTGTCTTCTCATACATTCATTAGAGTGGGACCGGTGATATGTATATAGGTTCCATTTGTCAATGAGACGTCCTATATTTTGTAACCAAACTGTTTCCTGTATGACCTCATTGTTTTTGAGGGTTGCACTCAAGTAATCCAAACAGGCTCAAGTTGGGGAACATGCACTTAGAAGGACTGGTTTCCCCAGGCCCTGAGAACAAGGGGAAATGAGGCAAGTGTCCAAACCCTGCTTAACTGCCCACCTCCTCCTCCATGTTTTCCGAAACTTCAGTTCCACTGGAGACAGCATCCCCACTGCCTCCATTCACCTCCGGCTCTTGTTTGGCTTTCTTTGCATCATCTTTCCGGGGGCTCTCTTCCTCCGGTTTTCTCTAAAGATATAATTAATGGTGAAGGCTTCACAAGTGTGCTTAATGTTTTCAAAAGGACAACTGTAAAACAATTCCTTAACGCCCCCCTCTTCCCTATGGTGCAAAGATCCCAACACCAGGATTCACAGCTCTAAGGGTCTCCCTGGCCACAACCTGTCCTCTGCAGAAACAGATTGGTCTGCCCAAACATACCAATTCAGCCTCTCTAATGGAAGAGTGGGGTGGGGATGAGGAATAGATCTGAACAGTAACCAACCCACAAATTTGAATTCCTACATTTGAGTCAGGAAACAAAGCAAGAGTTCAGGCTCTTCCACAAGAGAAAAAAATTACTGCAACAGGCAGAAGGCAGACTCACACAAGTTTAAGTATCAAGAGATCTGCTGCTGAATGACTACTGTAAACCTGCCAGCTTCCTAAGATGGGCTGATCTGACCAGTCCTCCTCATCACCTTTCCTGAGAGCCCTTGGGCTAAAAACCAGGAAAGTTTTGCTAGAAGACATACTCAGTCAAGACCGATCTTCATTCAAATCCTCGCCTATTTTTGCAAAACGAATGTCTTATTGCACCTAGTATGAGGGGTGTTCATAGGAAAGATACTCCTCATGTATCATTTGGAGGAAAAAAAAATGCAGAGTGAGAAGAAGACAGAAAAGAAATGACCACATGTAGATTTACCTTCTTTCTGACAAGGTGAGAAATATCGGTCACACAATTTGATGAGGAAGCACCATCTGTTGGCTTTCTACAGGCGATCTGGCAATAAGAAACCTTTGTTAGCAATGTACTCCTAGACAAACAGAGGTGTAATATTAAGTGACAAAAACCACCTGAATACCCACCATGGAGACTGAAGAGCCTCCTCCACTAGGAGTGAAACCTGAAGTAGAGCTCTCCACCTGTGTGAGAGATGACAAACCCAGGTGGGTCCCAGGACAGAGCCGACCAGGTCACCCACCTACAAGCAACTGTTTAAGACCTCAAATACTAGTGGCCACCATATAGTAGCAACATCACTCACCTCCTCTACTCATACCCGTGGTCACACATAGTAAGTAGCTGAGATAGAATTCAAACCCACACAGTCTGGCTCCAGAGCATATTATCTTAAGCATTAATATTTACTATTTGAGAGGAACAGTATATGAGTTCTCACATTCCCTCTGACCTCCAACTCCCTGGAAACCAAGTCATAAGTTAAGATTCTTAAGCAAATGGCACGCTAATACCATGATAAAGGGCCTTCAACAATATCGAATATACTATTATCAAAACTTTAAAAGGAAACCAAACGAACCAGAGTTGCTTTCAGAGCCAATTCAGCTACATTCCCACTACGCTGGGACTCCTTTGCATCTTCTATCTTCTCTCTAATTTCAGGTAGCAGCTCCTTCAGCTCCTCAATTTCTTTCTCATATTCAGTAGGTGACCCTTCGGCCTCCTTCATATGCTCATTAAGTACAGCTAGGAAGAACAGGCTGAAGTGATCAGTAACAGATAACACAAAAGAAGCCTTTTTTTTTTTAACTGTCAATACTGGATCCATCAAAATCATTGTGGAAACAGCTGATGCTTACTCACCCATTCTCTTCTCAATGACTTCAATAGATTTGCTGAACTGTGCCACTGCTTCATCATACTGAGAGTTGTACCCATAGGCCAAGCCCAGCTGGTAGTGGGTCTCTGCAAGGAGCCGATCATGGGCTTCCAGGTACTGCTCCTGCAGGTTTAGGCAAGCCTGGAACTCCTCCACAGCTTGGATGTAATTCTCTAACGAAGAGAAAAACAGCAAGCAATACTTCTAAAATTTCAGACCATGCTGCAGGAATATGCTCCCATCTTATATTTCATTTTTCTTCGTAGCATCTCCAGGACTCTTGACTAAAAACCATCAAAATGACTTTAAAAAACCTACTGAGGTGCTTCCCTGGTGGTGCAGTGGTTAAGAATCCGCCTGCCAATGCAGGGGACACAGGTTTGAGCCCCGGTCCGGGAAGATCCCACATGCCACGGAGTAACTAAGCCCGTGCACCACAACTACTGAGCCCGCACTCTAGAGCTTGTGAGCCACAACTACTGAAGTCTGCGTGCCTACAGCCCATCTCCGCAACAAGAGAAGCCACCGCAATGAGCAGCCCGTGCACTGCAACGAAGAGTGGCCCCCGCTCACCCCAACTAGAGAAGGCCACGCAGAGCAAGGAAGACCCAACGCAGCCATAAATTTAAAAAAAAAAAAAAAACCCTACTGAGAAGGACTTCCTTGGCGGTCCAGTGGTTAGGACTCCGCACTCCCAATGCAGGGGGCAGGGGTTCAATCCCTGGCTGGGGAACTAAGATCCCACATGCTGCACAATACGGCCAAAAAGAAAAAAAGCCTACTGTCCTTTTAAAGCTAATTGCCCACAATTTATGATCAATTGAGCTAGATTTTAAGGAATTAGAGGAAGATTAAGGCAGGGGCAAGGGATGTGTTAGAAAAGAGAGTAAAATGGAAAATGTATTACCAGATTCAACACTAACTTCTCCAAGTTTAAGATGTGCCTGTGCAGCATAA